GCTATCTCTTCGCCCTTTTCTTTTTGCTTAACCAACGTAAGGCCTAACAACTTAATTGCGTCCCTTCCTAATATCATTTCGCATTTCATCGCGTGATCAGGTACGACTCGAAGTAATACGCCGTTTGCGTCTAAGTCCTCTCCCGAGACTTTTACCTCGACCTGTCCCAATATTTCTAATACCGATCCATTAATTCCCTCATAACGATTATCCGGAAATGTCGCAACTAACTTTGACGGGACAACTTTTGACTTTATCAAGCTAATGGGACTCGCGGTATCAAATTGTGACTCGCAATTCAAATTGTACTCTACCCCGTCCTTACTTATCTGTAGATCGACAGTTTTAACAAACTCGTTATCGTCTCGCTTCTGTTCTCGATGTTGGAGATCTGCGACGCCGTTTCTGTCTGCTGCTGCTGCTGCGGCCCCTTCGATTCGGTTGTCATCTTTTTCCGTTGTGGACAGTCCCGTAGTCGATGATCGATCGCCCCGCATTCGTAACACGAACCTCGTTCTCTCTTCGGCCTATCGCAATTCATCGTCATGTGCCCCGCTCGGCTGCAGTTGAAACACTTGGCCTGCACACTACTTTATCCCGTCGTTTGCTGGGACGTCTGTAGTTTTGGCTTGTGCTTAATCTCCGTTTTATTTCCAGTGATATCGCCGATTCGTGCCTGATTTTTATTTGGCGCCCGTAGCATAACTTTCTTAAACGCTTGCAACAGGTCTTCCTTCTTCTTAAATCTTTGTATACGCGCCTGATTTCGCGTCACCTCGTCTGAAACCCCGTCTATTATGTAGTCCGTTATCTCTTCCTCGTCGATGGGCACTTTACTCGCGAGGATTGTCTTGTCGTAAAAGTAGTTGCTGAAGGTCTCGTCGTTACGCCACGTCCTTCCTTTAAATTGTTTTCGTAAATCCATCTTCGTTGAGCGATGATCGAACATTGTCTGCATTCTTCCGATCAGCTCCTCTACCGACATCTCTAAATGCTCCGACCTTGAGTGGAACCACTGAAGCGCCTTCTGTTCTAGCCTCATGCCGATAAGGATTCACGCCTTCCCGTCATCTAACTGATACGTTGCCTGAATGAGTTCGAACTGTTTCCTCCAAATAGCGAACGTATCCTCTGTGCCCGAAAATTCGCTTAATAATTCACTCAGGGGCTTAGGCTGGATTCTCGCCGTCGAGCCTTGACTGGCCGTTGTCCTGAGCGAGGTCGTAAGTCGCACATTCTCTTCCGTCTCTCTCTCGCGGCGCAGGATTTCGAGCTCTCGTTGCATAATGTCTCTCTCTCTTCTCAAAATTTCGAGCTCTCTATCTCGAAATGGGTCTTCTAAGTACGCGTCTTGTCCTAACGGGGTCCGTGGGATCCGTTGTCGTCGCGTGTCGTCCTCCATTTCGGCTAGATCGTCACTTTCCTCCATACCTGGCTGTATCGTTGCCTCTTCTCCCGTCGCCGTCTTATTCGCCGAGATTACTCTTACTCTCTGCTTCCATGTGCCGGCAGGGTCATGCTCATAAAGCCTTCCTAATAATTCTAACTTGTTGCCTTTCGATGAGAGGCCTAATTGTTTTAATACCTCTTTCAACTGCGCCAGAGTAATCTTGTCGGCTTCCATCTTCCGTATCGACCAGTATGTCTTCCTTTGGTACGTGAGCCCTCTATCCCACTTCTGATATTGTGGTAAACAATAAGAGGAGGTAGACTTGGGACGGAAATGAGAGTAAAGTCGTAAGGATAAAATCAGCTCTCTTTATTCCGCCTATCTCTTAAACGTGCTAATGACCGACTGACGACGCGTCCCGATTTTTCGTTGTTCGCCTGCTGTCTCTTGTCTTTTCGATCGCCTACGGGACACGCCGCGACTCGTATACCCCGTGATCTTTTCGAGGCATCGAGACTTCGCTTCTAGACTCTTACTACACAATTAAGTAATGAAATTTTTGTGGTTAGGCTGTGAGTTCAACTAAACTTTGAGGCATAACGAAACTTCTAACAGTTCGTTAATAATATTATAAATGGTAATAGGTTTGGACCCCTAAAAACTAAATTTTTTGCTCGTCGGTAAAATGTCAAAAGCTAATCTCACAGCCTTCTAAACAGCCTAGGTTTTCGACCATAACACAGCCCCACAAAAAAGGGCCTAAGACTAGACAAGTGTATTCTTATGTATTTTTACCCGCTGAATCTGAATCCGAGGTCAGAATTGAACAATTACTAGCTTTAACGTGCCTAACCTCAAAAAACTCATAATTTCACAAAACGGGCGCTTTTACTAGACGTATGCGATCGTAGCAGAACATTAATGGGGAACTTGGTTAAGGGGTTACAACACTCTAGAGCCCCACAAAAAAGTCAATTTCGGTGATTTTTTTCAGGAATATAATAAACGTAAATGAAAATATGTTTATTCCTATTTATTCTCTAACCAATAAAGTATAAAAAAAATTTTATGAATTTTTCTTTAACAAAATGGCGGCCCCAGAGCCATAGCACCAAAGTGGTTCTTTGTGTACATCGCCTCACGGGAGGAAACGAAGCTCCCTCACCCTTTGAGATAGAACACAAAACCAACGATTTTTGAAAAATGTTACGAGTAATATTTGTTTTGTTTTCTAATTTTTGTTTGAACATTTTCTTTTGTATCTCGCGCCCTTGTACTTTAGTTATTTTTCAGTTGAAGTGCACTTGTACACTTTTCTTTACGTCGGAGGGCGCGGTTGGTAACGCTGTAGAAAATATAGCAAGAAGACAAGATGTCCGAATTGAGTCAGCTACAATAAAGACGCTCGGATCTAAAATACGTAAAGATTGTGAAGCCCTTTTATTCATTTCCCAGACCTCAAGACAAGTCAGAACCTTTAACAAAAAATATATAACATTTTCTTTAGAACCACGTACGGATTTTGCGAAATACCGTTTTTTGTAAAAATGGTGTGTGTTAGAAAAGAAAGTTGCACTCTCTCTCTCTCTTTTCGATAAAAAGATTTCACTCAAAATAGTTTATAAAAACAATTTTCAACTTATCGCAAAATCCGTACGTGGTTCAAAAGAAAATGTTATATATTTTTAAAAAATCTGAGGTTATTGTTCCAACTAAAAAGGTGAGGTAGCTTCGTTTTCGCCCGTGAGACAACTTCCACACTTTGGATCCAAGGCTCTGCCGCCGCCATTTTGTTGAGGAATAATTAATTAAAAAATTATGTTCCTGAAAAAAAATCACCGAAAATTGGCTTTTTTCTTTGGATTCTAGAGTCTTGTAACCCTTTAATGTTGGGTCTGATGAGACAAGAAAAAATATGCATATAGCTCAAGATATGGAAGAATCAACTTCATTTCACAAATGTAGCAAAGATGCAAACGCTTTTTGTTATATTTGTAGCAAATATGAGATTTCAAAGAATCGAAGGAACACAACTGCAAAAATTAAGAAATGTTACGTGGTTGTTGATGTTTTAGCTTAGAAATTGCAAATCAAGACAGTAATTGGGTTCCCCAAAAAATATGTAATACTTGTTATAAAATGTTGCAAAAAAAGGAAGTATCACCGAGGGGAAAGAAACGTAAGAGAAAACCATTGCACAGTGTTAGCGATTCTCGCTAGGAGAGTTCGCTGGTACCGCTGCGGATGGAAGCAGGGTGAAAGGACGTAGCGACAAGACTCAAGGAGCGAATGCACGCTTATTAGGGTGGACTATCACGTGATCGAGACTCGGGTCGTTTGAGTTAAAATTACCGTATCACAGTTTAATAATTGGTGTATAGTTACATTTGAGAAGTCTATGAGAGAGAAAGTGTATGAAAAGTCTGTATTCACGTGCACGGGTCGATATTATTGATCGAGAGCCGGCCTGGTGATCGTTGATGCCCGTGAGCCGTGTCCACGCGGCGCCGGCGTGCGCGGTGCGTGGTGAGTCTGAGCCAACGTTGATGCTGTACTCGAGCTGTCCGGGATGAGTCGCACTGGTGAGATCACTATGTCTATTCACTGAGTCTAGTCTCTGTTGAGAGGATGAGAAAGTCCACAAAAGAGCACTCGATAACTATTCGCACTTCAAGACGCGTGTACGGTTGCCATGAGACTAAGAGCGCCGGTAACGCACGTGAAGTCGCGCCGTCGCCTCGTGTCGCGATCGGGCATGCGCGAGCAGCGCTCATGCGGCGCTGCACGATCTGACCCGGCTGATGCTGCCATCACGCCGGGGATGAAATGAACGATTCAAATGAATCTCGAACATTCCGCCTGCCATCAGCAACGTAGTTGATGATCCCTGATCTTATGATGAGATTGGCAGGACGGAGAGCTTGATCACTGGTCGGATGAGAGTGGTAGTGGCTGTCTTCAAAGTCACCACCCGCACGAGTCCATCCTTCCCAGGATGTAGGGCAGTTATCCGGGCTAACGGCCATTTGCATGGTGGTAGCCGCTCGTTGGTGATGAGCACCAATGATCCGATCTTGATCTCGTTGTTCCTGTGGTGCCATTTTGAGATGGCACCACAGGATCGCGCATGCCCGATCGCGACACGAGGCGACGGCGCGACTTCATGTGCGTTACCGGCGCTCTTAGTCTCATGGCAACCGTACGTAGTACACGCGTCTTGAAGTGCGAATAGTTATCGAGTGCTCTTTTGTGGACTTTCCCATCCTCTCATCAGAGACTAGACTCAGTGAATAGACATAGCGATCTCACCAGTGCGACTCATCCCGGACAGCTCGAGTACAGCATCAACGTCGGCTTGTTGGCGTTGTAGGTAATACGATGAGACCATTGTGTCCAAAAATGTTGTGCCTTTTGCTGGATGAGTTGCCATCGTGAGAGTCTTGAGATTGCCAGGTCCGTGAGTGATGGCTCTGGTATGGCAGTGAGAGGACTTCCTATGAAGAAGTGACCTGGCGTGAGTGCTGAGATGTCTTCTGAGTCGTCACTCAATGGTTCGAGAGGTCGCGAGTTGAGAATTGCATCAATTTGAGTGAGTAATGTGGTGAGCTCCTCATGTGAGCACGGTTTCTCCAATGGTGCGCCGTAGATGATGTTTGATCGATTTTACGACGGCCTCCCATTTTCCTCCCATGTGAGGTGTCGCTGGGGGATTAAATTCCCATCGGGTGTTGTCTTGCGAGTGCAGGTGAGAAATTCGCTGATGTTCTTGAGTGCTCTGGATAAACAGCCTTTTGAGAGCTGCATCCGCGCCCATGAAATTGGTGCCGCAGTCTGAGTGTAAGGTGTGAGCAATGCCGCGTCTGGATGAGAAGCGTCGATAGGCGGCAATGAACCCTTCGGATGAGTAGTCACTGACCGCCTCTAGGTGTACTGCTGAAGTTGAGAAGCAGACAAAAACGCAAATCCAGCCTTTACTGGTCTTGGCACGTCTTCCTTTCCACGTTTTGACGGTGAGTGGCCCTGCATAGTCCACACCTATATGAGTGAACGGTCGTGCCTGCGTAACCCGAGAGAAGGGTAGTTGGCCCATCAGTTGATGAGCACGGATCCCCCTCTGCCGAGCACACGTGACACACCGCAGAATGTGAGACTTGACAGGAGCTCTTCCGCCGAAAATCCAGTACTGTTGTCGGATGTGCGAGAGCGTAAGCTGCGTGCCTCCATGTAAAGTCCGTTGATGAGCGTGAGCGATGATCAATGATGATAGCTGAGAGTGACGAGACAATATTGCAGGTTGTTTCGCATCGAGTGAGAGAGCTTCGTGAGCGAGTCGTCCGCCGACGCGAATGACTCCTTGAGCGTCGATGTACGCAGTTAATCTGTCGAATGCGTGTGCCTTTGCCAACGGTGAATCTGCTTGTTGCGCCTTGAGCTCGTGAGAGAAGTACGTTGCTTGAGTTGCCTGAATCCAGAAGAGCCTCGCTTTCTCCAAGGTCTCTGGAGAGATGTGTCTAACAGGCAATGAGTCGTGGACCTCCCTCAATCGTGAGACGAATCTGAAACAAAGAGCTGTAATCCTCAATAGTTTAGTGAGGCTTGAGTACCTCTAAATGAGTTCCCAATGATAATCAGTCCTTGGCGTAACCGTCAATAACGAAACGCCTGGGCGAGCTTCTGTTGCACTCAACTCTTCGGAGAGTGCTGGTTGCGACGGCCATGAGTCTGGTTTGAGTATCCATGGTGGTCCCGTCCACCAAAGTGAGTGGTTTTGAAGTTGAGCAGTCGTGAGGCCTCGTGATGCGCAATCAGCTGGATTGAAATTTCCAGGGATGTATCGCCAGTGAGCGTCTGGAGTGAGTTCTTGAATTTGAGCCACCCTGTTTCTGACAAAATCCTTCCAGCGTGATGCATGAGATCTGATCCATGAGAGTGTCACTAGAGAATCCGTCCACAGGTGAGTTGACGTGACGTCCATGTTTAAAGTGGCTTTGACGTATTGCATGAGTCGAGAGAGCAGTAGAGCAGCCGTGAGTTCAAGTCGAGGGATTGAGAGCCGCTTGAGAGGTGCTACCTTAGTCTTGGAGCACACAAGTGAAATCGAGGCGCCGTTTGAGTCGTGAACGAAGATGTATATGACTGCAGCCATTGCCAATTGAGAAGCGTCAGAGAATCCGTGTAGTTCCACAGAAGAGTTGCACCAGGTGTTGAACCACCTAGGTATTGAGAGCTTGATCAAGCCTGTGAGTTCTTCTCTGAGGATGAGCCACCGGGTTGAGAGCTGGGATGTCAGTGGGTCATCCCATTGGAGCTTGTGCAGCCACAGCTCCAGCAAGAGAATTTTGGCCCTGATCACGACGGGTGATGCAAAGCCAAGTGGATCGAATATCTGAGCCACTTCAGATAAGACGAGGCGTTTTATGAGTCTGCCTTCAGTGCGTGAGTTCCTTGTTGAGAATGCAAATGTATCTTCTTGAGGGAGCCATTTGAGTCCGAGTTGCGCAATCTTGGTTGCGCAATCGTCGAAGGTGATTGGTAAGCCTTGATCTTGGCTGTCGGTGACAGTCTTGAGTATGTCGAGGTGAGTTGCATGCCATTTTGCTAGTGGGAAGCCGTCCGCCATGCAGAGGTCCTTTAGTTGATGTGCAACCTCCTGCAATTGTTGTACCATATCTGCACGACCAAATATGTCATCGACATATTTGCCGTGAGTGATGGATGGCACAGCCAGTGGGAAATTATGTCTTTCATCCTCTGCTAGTTGTAACAGCGTCCTTACGGTCAAGAATGGCGCGGCCTTCGTCCCATAGGTGACCGTTGTTAAGTGGTATGGCACCTCGTTGAGCTGATCGTCCATCCAGAGTATCCGCTGTAACTCCCAGTCATCCTTGTGAATGTTGATCTGCCTGTACATCTTGGTGATGTCCGTAGCGAAAATGTGACGATGTTTCCGTATCCAGAGGAGAACATCTGAGATGTTCAGATGTAATTTCGCTCCAGTGTACATGAGGTCGTTGACAGAGTAGCCTGATGTGGATGCGCTGGAGCCATTAAACACGACCCGCAGCTTTGTTGTAGTACGTCAGGCTTGAATTGTTGATAGAGACGTTGATAATTCACATCCCTTGAGAATCGTCTGCGTAATCCCTTGAGACATTGATGAGCGACGTTGTACGAATCACCCAGAAGATCCACTGGTGATTTAAGTGGAATCCTGGCGACGTACCTCCCTGCAGAATCACGAGAGTGTGTAGTCTTGAAGTGCTCTTCGCACCTCTGCTCGTCAGGAGTGAGTTGATTGACATCGTGAGTAGGCACCTCCTCTTGAACCCAAAATTTCGTCAACAGCTCATTAAGAGCATCCTCGTTGACTTGAGTAGAAGCATGATGCGTTGATGTGCGTATTGCTTCTCTGTTGACTGGTCCAAGAACGAGCCATCCGAAAATGGAGAGTTGCGCTATCGGCATGAGTAGAGAATGCCTAATAATATTGGGCTTGATGATTTGCCCGTAAGCGTCTGCTCCGATGAGGAAGTCAACTGGCCGCGGGATGAGAAAGTCTGGATCGGCTAATGCCAAGTTTCTGAGATGCGGCTATTCTTCCGGTTCTGCCTCGAGAGATGGTAAGATTGATGTAACTGTTCGGAGGACATGAGCTTGAACTGTGGCAGTTGAGTTGGAATGTGTCGAGCATAACGTAAGTGACACGACACCTCGCGTCCGAGTACACTCCTTGCCTGCAATTCCATTGACGACAATACTTGAGTATTGACGAGGGATGTTGAGCTGCCGAATGAGATTCTCCGTGACGAAGGTGAGTTCTGAGCCTGCGTCAATGAGTAGACGCGCTGAGTAATGAGTTGTGGATGAGCTGATCAGTGCCAAGGCTGTGGCGAGTAATGTTGAGCAGGATGAGAGGACGTGTGAGCTGGTCTCGACGATTGCACCGTCTCTTCAGTTCGCGGGCGTGACCGACGAACCACCGGATTTTTGAGCGGGCGACGCTGTCGGATGTGCGTCATGCAGCATCGTGTGATGACGCTCCGTGCACTTCTTACAGCCCCTCTGGCTTTTGCATGAGCGCACGTTATGGCGCCCTAGGTAATTGAAGCACAGGCGCTTGTTCACTGCCACCTTGTGCCGGTCGTGCGGTGAGAGGTCCCTGAATTTGGCGCACATAACTGTAAAGTGCTGCGCGTTACAGCAGTCACACGGATACGATGAGTCGCCTGGGTGAGTCGTCTGGTGAGTGTTGGTCTTCTTCGGCGGTGATGTTGCTGAGCTGGGGCCTGGTTGAGACATCGTTGATTCGATCCGCTCAAGAGCCCGTGTCCGAGAGGTTAAAACTCCTCGAGCTTCTCGAACGTTGGATACTCGCGCGTGGCACCAACCGCGTTCTCCCATTGCTCACGCGTGACGCGATCGAGGAGAACCTGATAGACCACTGCGCAGTCCCCCAGCTTCTCCTTGACTTCGAGGGCCTCAAGTGCCTTGAGAACCTCCTTAACCCCGGAGATGAGCTTATCCAATGCTGCCGCCTTCCTCGGTACCGGTGTTGAGCTGGCGAAGAGCTTGTCAAGACAGGAATGGATGAGTAGCCGTTTATTCTCATACCTGTCTTTGAGAAGATCCCATCACATAGTATGCACACCAGTGATGGCATACTATTGGGTTATCCATTAAGAGAGTCATATCTTTAAAATTGAATAAAATACGAACGGTTAGAGATAGCCACGTAAATTTTTTTATTTTGAAGGCTGGAATATGACATTAATGATGGAAAATGATTTCATTAAGATGACCGCCACGGCTTTGCTTGACGTAGTGCATTCGCTTAACCCAATTTTGAGCGACATTTTCGCACATTTCAGCCGGAATCTCATCGATGGCTCGACGGATGTTGACTTTTAGGGCCTCAATCGTTGCTGGTTTGTTGGCATAGGCCATAGACTTAATTAACATGCCCCCACAAAAAATAGTCTGGCGGCGTTATATCGCACGATCTTGGCGGCCAATTGAACGGACCGTTTCGTGAGATAATTGCTTCATTGAACTTTTCCTTCAATAAGTTGATGGTTTCGCCGGCTGTGTGGCAAGTGGCACTATCCTGTTGGAACCACATGTTGTCCAGATCCATACCATCCAAACTGCGAAAAAAATTTACGGATCATCTTTCTATAGCGCTCCCCATTGACCGTAACGTGGGCTCTTTGCTCGTTAAAGAAGTACGGCCCAATGATGCTGCCGGCATGAAATGCGCATCATACAGTGACTTTTTCAGGGTGTAATGGTGTTTCCATGAACTATTGTGGCTGCTTGTCACTCCATATACGGCAATTTTGCTTATTAACGTAGCCGTTAAGCCAAAAATGAGCCTCGTCGCTAAACAAGATTTTTCGGTAAAAATGATGGTCTGTTTCCAGCTCTGCCAGCGCCCAATTGGCGAAGTTTCGACGCAAGCCATGGTCTTGTGGCTTCAGTTCCTGCACCAACTGGATCTTATAAGGGTGTAAACCCAAATCTTTCCGCAAAATACGCCAGGTTGAGCCGTATGACAAACCCAATTCCTGCGAACGATTAATCGATAAATTCGGATCTTTGCCAACACTCTCCCTCGTGGCGGCGGTATTGACTTCATTTCGAACATTTCTTTGTCTTGTTGGATGATGAACATCACATACTACCAGTCGACTCAAAATTTTCAATAATTCGACGAATACTGCGTCGGAAGGCCGATCACGAAGGCCGTAAATTGGGCGTAGAGCACGATGCGTAGATCGAATCGAACTACGATTTTCAAAATAAATTTTAACAATTTGTACGCGTTGATGGACCGTGTATCTTTCCATGATGATTTGTCAATCCAAACTGAAAAATAAACAAACATTTATGGATATGTCAAGTTGCCCCTATCGGAAGCAGCTGTTATCAAAGATGTGACAGCTCTATTGGATAACCCTACCAAGAGCCTATGGTCTCCCGAAGATCCACAATCCTAACCTAACATACCATTAAGGATCATCGTCTCCTCTCTACACACTCCACTGTACAACATAGCATCTTTCCTACACGACATCATAATCCACAGTCTACCTACTAACGAATACAGTGTCAACGATAGCTATTCACTAGTCCAAAACTGTAAAAATAAATCTATCCCTGATGGCTACTCCTTGGTCTCCTTAGTTGTGATTTCTCTCTTCACCAATATCCCTATCGATTTGGTGGAACGGGGCATTGAGAAGAGATGGAATTTTATTTCTCAAAAAACAAAGATACCTTACGTTGAATTTTTAAATGCTCTGAAATTTGTATTAGACTCTACATACTTCACGTTTCACAACACTATCTTCAAACAAACATATGGTTGTCCAATGGGCTCTCCACTATCCCCCATTATGGCCGAGATTGTTATGCAGGATCTGGAAACCATAACCCTGAAAAAACTAAACTTTTACACTCATTTATACTACAGATATATCGATGACATTGTTCTGGATCCGGAATTGTGCGGAAAAAATTGTACAGATCTCTTAAACAAATTCAATTCTATACATAAAAGACTACAGTTTACATTAGAAAAACCGACTAATAACGCTCTCAACTTTCTAGACATAACTATAACATTGAATAGAGGAAAAATGACATTCAATTGGTATCACAAGACTACATTCTCAGAGAGATTCCTAAACTTTTTTTCCAACTATCCTATACACCAAAAAAGAGCAGTCGCAATTTCACTGATCGACAGAGCCTTAATATTATCGCATCCGTCATTTCACAATGAAAACATAAAACTAGTAATATCTTTCTTACTGTCCACTAGCTATCCATTAGATTTTATTTTCAAAACTTTGACATCACGAATATTTTACCTAATCAACAAATATCAATATAATCTAACGGATTACAATTGCACCAACACTCCTCAGAATAAATCCTTTTTGGCTATTGCCTTAGTACCGGACCTCTCCAACAAGTTTAAAACTATGGCAACAAATATAGACTAAACGATCACATTCTACGGTTTCAACAAATTGAACAATCTAATCACGGTTCACAAAGACGAAGTACCACACGCATTTAACTCCAACGTAGTATATCACATCAAATGCAAAGATTGCGACGCAACATACACAGGACAAACAAGCAGATTATTAGCTATCCGTATAAAAGAACACAGTAAAATAAATTTGAACAATCCATCTGTAATCCATGAATACTGCATAACAAATAACCATATTTTTGATATCGATGATACCAAAATTTTAGACAAAGAATCAATGAGACGATTGAAATTTGAAATGTTATATATTGCCGAACAAAAAAACGGTATCACTCTCCAAACAGATACAGCACTTTTGGGAGACACATATCTTCCACTTCTGAAGAAAATGAATAACCAAAGATAAATACAAGCACCTGTCTTTCTATTATTGGCACAAGCAATAACATTTCTGACCAATCATACTTCCAACTCACACGACTTTAATTTTTAACTATCCCAAAACATAAATATCACCTCTAGTCGACGATCAGTATAACATAGGCCAAGACACACTTTATAACGAACTATTATGTCTCTCCGTCTGTCTCCTCATCATAGTGAGTATTACATATTTTATTTTAAGCATACTTGTACATTTCACTTTACCTTTACGGTTAACTCATTCTCAACTAATTCTAAAAAACCTTTCTATTAACTTACAGTCTTTACAGTTTTATTTCTCGTTGATATACATTTTTTTTCTTTTATTTATTACAATTCAGTCACATGGACCAGCCCTTCCGACACCATACAAAGTGTCTGACCATTAACATGTACTGTGGTGAGGGACATGACGACGACCGAAAAGGCATCTAACCATATACTCAGACAAATCTTCATAATAACGAACAAAGTACGTAGTGCCC